TGAGATATGACGGTCATACTATCAAATAAATGGAAATTTAATATTTTTCAGATATACTGTAATGTACTTATTTGAAAGAAAAAATGAATATTAAAAATTATATTTGATTTTTATATTTTATATTATAATTATAATTTAAAAATTTATATTTTTACATAAGAATTTAAATCGAAAAATAAAATTTTATTATAATATAAAAATATATGCTATATAATATAATATATAAATATAATATAAAAATATAAGCTGACGAAAATTATATAATTTTAAATAAAAACTTTAAATGTAAGATATAGAGTATAGAATTAATTATATATTAATATAAAAATAAATTAAAATACTATAAAAATAATTAATAATAATTAATTATATATTATAATATTAATATTATATTAAAATATTTTTGTGCTATACTAATTATAATAAATTACAAATATTATATATATATATATATCATAATTTGATAATCTCAAAATATTTTCATGTTATCGATATTATATTAGATTTTTTGTTAATTCATTATGACAATAATAAATATAAAAAATGTTTTTCATGAAACTACGTATATTATCTTGTAACTTATATTTTGTAAAATTTTATGAAGTTTTTTTCATAAATAATTATATTTTTGTAATATTTTTTTTATACATTTTTTATAAACAGAAAATATATTGAATTGATTATATAAAAAGTTTCATTTGATAATAATATTAATAGTAGAAGCTGTAAAGTGGGGGAACATTTATATATCCATGTATCATTCGTATCTGTATTTTAGAACAGTAACTATTGAGTACCATACTTTGATGCAACAGGATGGCGGTACCAACTATTACATTGAATAATGGATATAAAATTCCTGTACTAGGACTTGGTACTTGGCAATCTGCAGTAAGTTTTTTGCTTAAAAATAATAAAATATATAATTTATTTTTAAAATTTACAAATATCATATATATATTAAAAATTTTTAATTAATTTTTAAGTTTATATTTCTTTAAAATGATATTTAAAAGATTTTCACCTAATATTAAATATAAAGATGTACAAATAAAAAAAAATAGAGCAAATCAATGCTATTTATTATATTATTATTTAAATAATAGTATTTTTTGTTATAATCATATAAAATTCTATTGTTTAAATATTTAAACTTGATATGATGTTTTACCTCCCAAATATTCAATCGAATTTAAATTCGAATAAAACTTTTAAAATATTTGCCATATTTTTTTTGAAACAATAAAAAGTTTTTCTCATTAATTTTTACCTTTTATTGTACATATGTTATTGTACATATAATGTAAACGATGTAATAAAAATAACATTTCTAATATATAATCTTTTATAGACTAATATAAAAAATGTAGATTATCATATATTATATTATTTTTTAAAATATTACATCATCGAGTGATAGAAACAGGATTTGTATATACGTATATGTAATATTGAAAATATTATTCATTAATAAAATAAAAAATTCAATAATGTGATTTAAAACTATTTTATTATATACATTAATATAAATTATCTGAAATTTAAATAATTTATTAATACTTTACTTACTTTACTAATCACCTTATAATCTATGCAAAATTTACATTAAAAAAAATTATACATTTTATATTTTATATTTTAAATAATGTATATACATTTTACATGTTTTATAATAGCAATAAATATGTAAATCTATTAAAAAATTTTTGAGGATAATCCAGGTGTCGTCGAACAAGCTGTACGAGATGCTGTCGATGCTGGATACCGACATTTTGATTGTGCTTACATTTATAGAAATGAAAAAGAAGTAGGCAAAGCTCTACGTGATAAAATTGCAGAAGGTGTAGTAAAAAGAGAAGATCTATTTATCACAACAAAGGTAATTATAAAAAATAAATTGTGGTTTATAAATTTGATCATTAATATTTTTATATTTTCAGCTATGGAATACAACACATAGAAAAGAACAAGTAGTACCCGCATGTAAGACATCGCTTAAAAATTTTGGATTCGATTATGTTGATCTTTATCTTATCCATTGGCCCATGTCTTATAATGAAGTAAAGGTAAAAATGCACGAATTTATTATAATATTATTATTATTAATTAAAACATTCATGATCTCAGGAAAAAGATGGTTTTTGGTCCAAAACTAAAGATCCTCTGTATGAGAATGTGGATTATTGTGACACATGGCAAGGAATGGAAGAATGTGTAAAATTGGGATTAACGAAAAGCATAGGCCTTAGTAATTTTAATTCCCAGCAAATCGATCGTATTTTATCAATTGCCCAAATCAAACCTGTAATGAATCAAATAGAATGCCATCCAAATTTAAATCAAAAAAAGCTTCGAGATTTTTGCAAACAACGTGATATAGTTATTACTGCTTACAGTCCACTTGGTTCCCCTAAACGTAGTTGGGCGAAACCTACTGATCCACAAGTAGCAATTGAAGCACCAGAAATTCTCGAGATTAGCAAAAAATATGAAAAAACGCCAGCACAAGTTGTTTTACGATATTTGGTAAATATATCGTAGTTCTTAGAAATATAGCAATTATAAAATGAACGATTCAATTGAAATATTTAATTTAAATGATTATTATTATTGTTATATTATATTATTATTATATATTATTATTCATTATAGATCGATATTGGTACTGTTCCTATTCCGAAATCTAGTTCAAAAGAGCGTATTAAACAAAATATCGACATTTTTGATTTCAAACTATTGCCACAAGAAATTGCAACTATTGATAAACTTGACTGTGGACTTCGTATTTGTCCTGCTAAAGAGTAAATAACAAATAAGATATACATTTCTTCTTTTTTATTTTTGTATCATAATTATATTGTATAATATTTTCTTTTTTTTTTTTAGATGTGCAGATCACAAGGATTATCCGTTTAATATAGAATTTTAAAAAATTTATCAAAAACAATTTTCTTTTTTTGCATTTTTCGAACTATACAAATATTATTCATGTGTAAAATTATTAATATATAATATTATAATACATTTGTAATTGTCTTTAATTTTAATAAAATATTTTAAACATACTGATTAAAAAATGACAAATGTCTTTCATAACATTTCTTTGAATATTGAAAAGCAATGACTTGCATTATTTTATCTTGTTATGTTATTATTATATTTGTGATTTTTGAATTTTTTAAATTTATAAAATAGTCTAGTAATCTTTTTTCTTACAAAAAAAAAACAGCGATATTGATAATGTTTAAATATCGTAATAATATTGTGTAATATCATCAATGCAATACCACATTTCTAATCTTAGTTTAATGTTTGCATCGTTATAGTTATATAATATTTATCTATCCGAGAAGAGTATGAATAGGAGGTAATAAAATACAGTTCTGCCAGTTACTTACATTTTGTGTGATTCGAACATTGTATAATAGTGAAAACCTTTGATGCATATTTGCTAACGTTTTTTTTTTAATCATTTACTTAAAATTTATAATTAATTATGGCTCAAATACCCATTCTTACATTTTCTAATGGATACAAGATGCCTTCATTTGGTCTTGGTACTTATCAGGTAAGATTTCATTTATATATTAAATAATTTATATATAAACAAAATTTTTGTTAATAATTTTAATAAAAATAAAAAGGTTATATTAAAATCTAGTAAATTTCTTTTGTATGTATCACATGATCTCATCGCGCGTTTTAATTTGAATTTAAAAATCAAATTAAATTAAATATGATAAACTTCTTAATTTTTTCAGTCACGTCCTGGAGAAGTAGAAAATGCTGTAAAAGAAGCAATAAACTTAGGATATCGTCACATAGATACAGCATATTTTTATCAAAATGAGAAAGAAATCGGTGAAGCGATTCAAACGAAAATTAAAGATGGAACTGTGAAAAGAGAAGATCTTTTCATTACAACTAAAGTAATTAATTTTTATATTTAAAAATAAATATATTTGTGATTTATATAACTTTTTTTTTTTTTAGCTTTGGAATAATTTTCACAAACAAGAAAGTGTAGTCCCAATATGTAAAAAATCGTTAGAAAATCTTGGATTAAGTTACGTAGATCTCTATTTAGTCCATTGGCCATTTGCCTTCAAGGTACGTTTCACTTTTAATATACTGTAATTATCTATTATTGCTTAATATTTTTAAAAAAATGTTAATTATTTTCCAGGAAGGTGATGATTTGTTACCCAGAGATGAAAATGGTACTCTTTTGTTATCAGATACTGATTATCTTGAAACTTGGAAAGGAATGGAAGAATGCGTGCAATTAGGATTGACTCGTAGTATCGGAATTAGTAATTTCAATCAAGAACAAATCACTCGCTTGCTTAGTGCAGCCAAAATTTTACCTGTAAATAATCAGGTAATTACATATTATATTATTTATTGATTCGATTAATTTCTGAAGATCATAATAGATATAAATTGTATAGGTTGAAGTCAGCATAAATATTAATCAAACGCCATTAATAGAATTTTGTAAAAAGCATAATATTACAATAACTGGTTATTCACCATTGGGACAACCTGGAAATAGGTCAGGTTTACCAACTTCCTTAGATCATCCAAAAGTAATAGAACTTTCGAAAAAATATAACAAAACATCAGCACAAATTGTTCTAAGATATATTGTAAGTATAATTTATTTTCTTAATCTTCTTTTTATATTACAAATAGGTGATGATAATTATCATAGTTTAAAATGTATATTTAAAAAATGAATATATGTAGAAATATATCCTAATTTATTTTTTAATTATTTTTTAAATATGGATAAAATATGGATTAAATATGGATTTTTAAATTTAAATAATAAAAATATTATTTTAAAATTTTTATATCAAAAAAAGCTAAAATTTAAACAATTTTGAAATATTTATAATTATATTTTTATATATTTAAATATTCAAATATTAAAAATTAGATAAATAAAATAAGAATTAACTTAAATAAAAGATGAATCCACATGTATTTAATCTAAATATACAGTTGAAAAATATGAAGTAATGGATATACTAAAAATTATATGATTGAAAATATAATATTTTATATTAAATATTATATTTATATTTTATATAAAATATAATATTTAATTTTTTATGCATAACATTAAATTTTTTATTATATTTGAATTCAATGCAGAATATCAATTTATATTTCTTTTTTAATACATATCGATACATTTTTTAACGATGATACTTATTATTGAAATATATATAATTAATCAAAGATAACATGATATGACATAATGAAGGTAATTTGATCAGCAAACTTTGATAAAAATTGAATCAATATTCAATTATATCTTCAAAAGAAGTATAATTGCGTAATACAATTATTAAAAATCATTTTATTTCCTAATAAGAGATCTAATAAATTTTTTATTTAAACTTATTAACTTATTAAAATTCATAGAAAGATTTATATATGAATATAACATATTATTTTTTTTACCAAAATATTCTAGTTACAACAAGGAATCGCTATTATTCCGAAATCTGTAACACCGAGTCGATTAAAAGAAAATATCAATATATTTGATTTTTCTTTGACGAGTGAGGAAATGGCATCTATAGCTACAATTGCAACTGGTCAACGTGTTGCACGATTTGCAGAGTAAGTATCTGTTACTATTAAAAATCCTTAAAATAAATTAATTTTTGAACAATAAGACAATGATATTATTTTTGTTCTTTCTGCAGTGCAAAGCAGCACAAGTATTATCCATTTGAGAAATAAAAATTTTATTGCAACTGAGTAAAATGACAGGAAACAGCTCGTCAAATTCAGTAGGTATATATTAATAGTAAGGTATATCCCCTTTGAACTTATATAATCCCACGCTGTAATTCGGCACTTGTTTGACCCTTATCTAGTCAATTAGATTTATTGAATGCCATGGAAAATTTTGATGCTCCATATAATATGAGATCATGCAACGTAACAAAGCGGACACCATCAACATGGACAAGGTTAATTGCATTCAACTAATGTTAACATTGATTACTAAATGTGTACATTGCAAATAAATAAAATTATATTAAAAACAAAAAAATTTATTAAAAGCAATTTATGAAGCATTTTTTTTTATTTAAAAAAATGCAAATAAAATAATTTTTAACATTTTATGTTATAATTATATTATAATTAATACCGTACTATAATTAATTATGATAAAAACTTGAAATATTGGCAAAAACTATTTTTAAAAACGCAGATATAAATTACATTGGCGGAATTGTTACGTGATAGCGGAAATGCAATTAACGAATTAAAACTAAGCGGATTTAATTTTTATTCTTTCATTATTATAATTATTCTTCGAATTTCTTAAATGAAAAAAATTTACACAATGTAAATATAAAATATATAAACAAAATGTTTTTGTATTGTTTTAGAAAAATTCGAATCATAGTACAATAAAATCCTATTTAGAAAGGAGACTATGATTTTATATTACTTTACACGTTAAAAATTCTGAACAAGATTTCTTCAAGGCCAATGAATGCCAAAGGCTCTTGCAAACGAGAACCCTTTTTTAGGATGATTCATTCAACAAGCAAAATTGCTTGTTCGTTGTCTATAATATACGAGTGGAATTTTTTTCCATACGGAATATGATACCATTTAACATTTTTGATGGTATTTTTCACTTTCTATTTTTTCTTCCATCATTAAAAATACAAATGAATTTGTTCGATAATTCGAAACAGCACGTAAGTTTCTGAAATTTATACGTAAAATTTATATGTTAAATATATAATAAATAAAATATACGTGTTCTAAACTTGAATTTCCCACCTATTGTGCAATGTTTAGTAAATTAAAGTATGACCTTCGAGAAATAACAATATAATAAAACTGATACCTTCGAGAAATTACTCGTTATCAATCTGTTAATAGTCACGTATTCATGATATTGTTATTTCGGTACATATATGGTCGAAGAAATTACATCATGAATCATATCACACAAGCGTAAGTTTCTAAGCAAACCACCGTATGCATTGAATTACGTGTTTGATATCTTTTTTTCTTTACAATATCATTCTTTATCGGTAAAACAAACACTTTAAACACTGAACGAAACCATTAAATGATATTACAGGTGGAATACAAAATTTTCTAACAAAACTAAATCACCGACGCATAAAAAATTATTATCGTTAGAGAATATTCGATCGCCAATAATTTATTGTGGCTCCTGGAGATCTAGAATGCTCGATAAAGTGAAAGAATGCCGTGATGCTATTAAGAACATGATGACCTTCGACAAGCTGACAAATACCTATGAAACTACACACATAGTCGGTAAAACTCCGATAATTCCGAGAGCAGCTACTTCTATGTCCTCGATACCGGATGTTATTACATTTAGTGGTATTGCATTGAAACATAAAGAATACGAAGATATACCGATTCTAATGAGAGATTCCATACTGAATTCGAATAAAAAAGAGAAAGAAAACACTATTGTGGAACAAATTGATCAAACTAATAATACAAACAATTCGTTGAAACGTTTCGTTTCAGTAGATAATATGCTCAGCAATTCGTTGAAATCATTCATAGTATTGGAAAAACAGATAAAAGAGGAATTTTTGCAAGAGGACGATGTTTTCACGACGAAAAAAAAAATTTCTGCAGAACCGTTCCTTTCTTATGTGGAAGGAAACGCAGAATTCATTTGGCCAGATGATACAATTGAGAGTTCTTCCGGAAATGCTTGGAACTCCCTGGAACATTTAAATTCGTCCGATATCAGATTTGGAAATCCACGTACAAATTCCACTTTTTATGAAGATATTTATGTGAATAGAAATCGTACATCTTCCCCAATTCGAAATCATCATTTTCAGGATTCTGGTTTTGAAAATAATTTCTCGATATAAATCAGTTCTATTTTCAATTTTTTCTCTCCATTCCTGTTTTTACTCTTTTTATTTATAACTTTTTGTAACTCTTCATATTTGAATCAATAAAATTTGTTCTAACGAATACAATTTATTATGTATTCTTTCGATAAATTCGAACCGAATCCATTTCTAAGATTCTATTGACTAAATGTAAACAAAAATATTATCAGTAATATAACTGTAAAATGATACTGTGAAAATCATATAAAATCAATGATAGTTTTATAAAATTATCGTTTAAGTAATTTTTGAATATGAAATATGAATTAATCGTGCAATTAATCGTGCAATTAATCGTGTAATATAAAAGAAAATAACACTTGCGATATCAATTTAAACAAACGGAAAGGCGATTTAAAAACAAAAACGAGACAATAATATCGAAATCCTCGAAGTTATCGATCTAATGAACAGCCATTATGCTGGAATATATGAACCAGTCCAACGATTCATTTTTATCCTGCGATAAACTTAAAACAATATCAATTTTTTTAAAGAAGGGAAGAACCACTCAGAGTAGAGTAATGGATTTTATTCTAACGATACTTGGTTGTATAATCCTGAAAATTGATAATCAAATCTACTTATATGAATTTAAGGATATTTTCAATGATAGAACCTTAAAAAATATAAAGAATGATCTGGAAAACCTTTTGTATTTTAAAACTAAATTCTTTAACTTTTTAATCATGGAATTATTGTTAGAGACTATCAAGAAAGAAAATAATTATTTTAATAAACGTATCAAATTCAATAGAATCATGGACACATCAAATAAACAATATAACAAAAAAGTTTTTCAAAAAAAAGTCAAGGATGTTATAAAATTTTTAATTTTTCGGAAGATCGAAAAATTTTCTTATCTTCATGATAATAATAGTACATTGGATTGGTCTTACTACAAAGAGAAAATTGATGTTATACTTAGCAACGAAATTCGTCCAAGAGATAATATAATAAATAAAAATAATGTTAAGGAAAATAATGAAGAAAATACAATAAATTTTATTTATCATAAAAGAAAAAGTGAATCTATGAATAATGTAAACAATTCAAAAAAACCAGATTCAAAAATAGAATCTAATTTCTACAAAACATCAAGTTATACTTGCTTCGATTATTTTTGTGGTAAAATTTATTGGTTGCTCTGCTATGCATGGTTAGGAATTTTTATATATTATTGTTGCATATCTTTTTTTCCAATTTTCCCAACATTATTAAATATTATACATAAATTGATAAATAATAATTCATAATATGGTAATTGTACATAAATTAGTATAAATTTAGTATAAATTTGTATTATTTCGTTCAAATTGTTGTTAAATATGTGTTGATATTGTTTTCTTCATAAATTCACAAACATAATATAGGAATTTTATATATATATAGGAATTAAAATTATTTTGCTAATTTAGTTAATAGCTTATCAATTAAAAAATTGATAAATCTATTTAATTTTATTAATTACATAAAAGTATCACATACTATGTCAATTTATTAAAACAAAGCAAATAATATATAATATATACATCCAAGCTTGATTTTAATATCTTCTAGTTTAGGTTATTTTTCATCAAATAATATAGAATAACTATATTCCAATATAGTGCGATATTTTAATGTAAAAAATATTTCTATAATTAAAAACTTTTAAAGATAATGAATATAAAAATTCAACTTTATCTTTAAAATATTTAAATAGTCATTGTTCTTTCATATGCTTTCATAATAAATTTATTCATATATTTTATAAGCTCTTATTATCGTGAAATAAAATATCAATAATTTTTTGATACCTCATTTGAATCATTTCATTTGAATCAAAAAAAAATATATAAAAAAATTTAATCGATTTAATCATTTATTTAAATTAGATTATAAATACTTACTTGAATGTACATATACCGAAATTAAAATAAAAATATAAATTACTGTATAAATTAATTTCTATAACATATTATTATTTCTTATTTATTGTTTAAATAATTTATTTTTATACATTAAAATTATTATATATTAAAATTTTAAAAATATTTCATTATTAATATTGAATGAGTAATTTGATTTAAAGAAGACTATTTATATATCGTCAAATGCAATGTTTTTGACATAATATTTGATATTCGAAATTTCAATATAATATAGAATATGATTAAAAAGTATATATTTCAAAATAATCTATTTCTGTTAAAATGTGTTATTCTCAGTAATTGATTCATTTATTCTTAACGATCAAGGGATTGAACTGTCCTTTGTTACTTCTAACGGATTCTGTAATTTTCCATAGGGCCCGTTTCTTGTTAACGAATTTGCCGACTTGTCGAGCTACGTCGAAATACATACACATCGATAAATTTCTCTATATAATACATAAAGTTATTATGCAACACATATACAAAGATCGCAAAACGCATGCGTAGAAAAGCTGCGCAAAACAGGGCAGTATACATTTAGAGGGTTAAAAGTGCCATGTTTTTTTTTCAATTTTTCCAATATTTATATATAAAATTTATTTTTCGTATTAATTTTTTTAAAAATATGTTAGACGTAAAATATTGATATCTAAAAAATAAAAAATAAATTTAAATATATAAATTATAAATATCAAAACATAAAAATATTAAAATCATAAATACGAATATAATTTATAGAAAATATATAAAAATATTTGATTATCAATTAATTATAATAAATTTTTAAATTTAATATATTAACATTATGAAAAAAGAAATTCTAAAAAGAAAATCTTTGTTAAATAGATTAAGCAATATTTAAATTATAAGATATAAAATTGAAAAAATATATTTTATTTTAATAAAAATATATAAATGATTTTAATTTTATTTTTATTTTTAAAATATATAAAAAAAATAAATACAGAATAACATAAACGAAACGATAAATCACACTTCATTTTTTGATATACGGGTATGTTCTTAGAGGAGGAGTCGGGGTAACGTAGGATATTTATAAAGGAAGCTCAGAAAAGCTACCGGCATTATATTACGATTGCTATTACGACTGATTATAATAAAAGTATTCAAAATTTTGTTTCAAATAATAAGATATATAACAACTAAAATGGTTGCAAATAGTGCAACAACATTAAAATTTTATAACGGTAACGAAATACCGATATTCGGACTTGGTACATGGAAGGTCAGTAATATTTATAATATAATAATTTATAATATATAGTATAATAATAATAATTTATAATCTATTTTTACAAAATATATATATATATAACTGTATTTAATGTATATTATAAATAATATACATTATTATTAATATAAATTTATACAATTTTTGTTGTGAGTTTTATTAATAAATTTCTCTAATTTTATTCGTATTCTTTAATAATTTATTCATTCTCTCTTCCTATATATCAATTAAAATTTTGTAATATGTCATTTAAGATACAAGATATTCTACAATGTTCTCGAAGTTACGAAATAAATCTGTCTTTATTTAAAATGTAGTATATTATAAATGTTTTTATAATATAATAAATTATTATAATTTAAAAAATTATGAATTTTTTACATTTTAATTTATATTTCACTTAAATAAAATTTTATTATTTTGTCATTGTTAAAATGAATTTTGTACGTACATAGTACATATGTATATACGTACTGCGTAAGTAAATAACATTGGTTATTTTGAGTTAATAGGAATATATATAATTAAATAGAGATAAGGAACTTATCAAAATTAGATAACTTGATTCAGAAATAATTTTTATTACATAATATATTTTTTATTTTTATAATATAATATATTATGAAATTGTTATAATTCATTTTTCTCAATTAATTATTTATATATCTTTTAGTCCAAACCTGGAGAAGTGACTCAATCAGTTAAAGATGCAATTGATATTGGATATAGACATATAGATTGTGCTCATGTATATGGCAATGAGAAAGAAGTGGGTATTGCTATTAAAGAAAAAATTGCTCAAAATGTTGTAAAAAGACAAGATCTTTTCATTACAAGCAAATTATGGAATACTTTCCATAGACCAGATTTGGTTGAACCTGCTATCAAAACATCTTTGTCAGATTTAGATCTTGACTATTTAGATCTTTATCTAATTCATTGGCCAGTAGCATTCAAGGAAGGAGATAATCTTTTTCCACAAAATCCTGATGGTTCTACTACTTTTAGCGATGCAGACTATGTAGATACATGGAAAGCTATGGAATCTTTAGTAACTAAAGGATTTACTAAAAATATTGGTATTAGTAATTTCAATTCTGAACAAGTTGAAAGAATTCTTAAAATCTGCACTATCAAACCAGTTACAAATCAAGTAAGTATATATTTTATTTAAATCAGAATATATTAAAAATATATTTTTTATAATATATTGTATATTTATAGATTGAATGTCACCCATATCTTACTCAAAAGAAGCTTTCTAAATTTTGTAAAGATAGAGATATTCTTATTACTGCATATAGCCCCCTTGGATCACCTGATAGACCATGGGCTAAACCAGATGACCCAAAATTATTAGATGATAAAAAATTGAGTGAAGTTGCAAAGAAATATAATAAAACACCTGCTCAAATTCTTATAAGATATCAAGTACATATATTAATATTCTATTCATAAATTATTTTTTTAATTTAATTTCTAATTTTATTTTCTTTTTCAGTTGGATCGTGGTCATATAGTTATTCCTAAATCAGTTACAAGATCAAGAATTGCTGAAAATGTTGAAGTTTTTGATTTTAAACTTTCCCCTGAAGATATTGAATATATTGATAGTTTTGATTGTAATGGTAGAATTTGTCCACTAACAGGGTAAATATTTTAATATTTTTATTTATAATAATTTTTATAAAATTAGTTTTAACATAAACATTAATTTTTTTCAGTTCGGAGGCTAGCCCTCATTATCCATTCCACATTCCGTTCTAAATAATAAGTTAATAATATATATCTAACATTTACAATATCTTTTTTCTGTAAGTTTTCTATATGAAAATCATATAAAATAAACTATATTCTAATAATAACTTCAATTTCATTTTTATATCAAATTATTATTTAATTTATATAATAATTATATTATATAATTTATATAATAATAGAATTGAAATAAAATTATTTATAATATATTCATTTCATATTCTTTCATTCTTTCATTCTAATAAAAATATTTTTCCAGTTACAAATCCTCGATAAAAAAATATAAATGTTAATTTGTATATAATAAATATTGTAATCTAAATATTGTGTATACTGATAACCCCATTTTAATAATCTATTGATAAAGGAATATTTATCGGTTAATTAACGGTTATTAGCGGAAATAATTGTTCATGTTACATGGAATACAAACATGGAATTATCGCCGTTAAAGCATATTTTTAAGGTATATAATATATATAATGTATAATATATGTATTATGGTATATAGTATAATACAAAAAAATTATATATATATGTTACATGACTTTTCTTATGATAGAAAAGTTTTTTTTATAGCCAATTGTGGCTTCTTCTTTTATTTTCTTATAAATTTAAGTTTAAAAAAACTTATTTTATCTATATTTACGTATTAGATTAGTGCATTTTGAAAAATTATGTTTTTCGCTATATCTATTTATTATCTCGACATTTATTATTTATTTATGAAATCTAAATTCAACTTTGACTTCTGATCTATGCTGAATATATCTAAATGTTAAAATGATACACAATATTAAAAATATTTTAACTGATATGACATACACAATGTACATATATATAATATGTAATATATAATATTGTATACAAATGTATTATTTTTTTTACTTTATTTGTATTATTTTGTTCTAATTAACTAATAAGATTAAAGACAGAAATTCAAGATATTGGATGGTATATTGTATTACATTATTACAATATAGAATATAGTATAATACAAATTAGGGAAAATTACCGTTATAAAAAATGAAGAACAATGAATTACGTTTACATTTTATTGCATTCGCATAAATGTTCATCACTATCTTCGCAACCGCATAAACAACATTCGCAATATTCACTATCTTCACTATCTTCTATTTTTGGTAAATCAGCTAGTTGCTTTATAGTTGGTTGATATTCTTCCGAAGGATCTAATGGCTCATCACTGCAATTACATAGTGTATCTGACAATCCACCTGCGCATTTGCCCTTACAATTGCATCTGCAATTTCCGATTGGACGTATATTGCAAGGCAACAAAGGACAAATTTCACAGGGACTTTTGAGATCATAAGATAACATGTGTGGTTTACACCCTGTACGAATACCTATAATTATTTTTCATATTAAATTGTTTTCATGATTAAAAAATTAATTAGCATAATTTACTTTATATACCATGTTCTTCCATTTTATAACGTGGTTGTTCGCAGAAAGGCTTTCTTAAAGATGTAATGCAGGAAATATTGTAAGGAGGAATAAGTTTTTTTAAAATATATTCAAAATCCTGAGAGGTGAAACAAGGACGATGACATTGTGCCGATTTTGATTTAAATGTTGATTTATCATCTTTTGATTTCTCAGAAGTAGGATTTTCCATTTTCTATCGGAAAAAAGATGGATCGTAAAATAAATATCAGTAAATAATTTTATGATATTTATATTATAATGAGTAAATTCTTATATATCATTTTTAACATTTAATGTCGTAGGATTTGCACTTTTCATCGGTAATATCTGTTTCGTTTCCGATTTCTGATTGCCTGCCCACCAATTTGACATCCAGGAAGATCTTTCTTTAACTTTTTTTTCGGATAATTTTGGATTAGTTTCTTGATCCTGTTTAATATTTTGTCCCGATGTAGAAATCAATATGTCATTATGTCTCTGTATAATATATATTTATTCATGTATAAACATGAATAAATAAATTTATTATGAAATTATTATTATTATTATTATTATTATTATTATTTTTATTAGATGAAATTTCTTTAAATTGAATGTATATTAATATATCAAAAATATATAATATATATAATCGAAAAATTTAAAAAAAATATATAAATCTATATTTTTTGCTTATTATTGCATTATTTATTAATAGTTTTAAGATAAAAATATCCAAATATCCATTAATGTACTTAAAAATTTTTTAAATTTATTGTTCGAAAACGAGCTTCAAATAAAAAAAATTTTATTCTATATTTTCGATAACTATATTTTCGACATTTATCTCATATAGAATCCTTTTTCCGATTATATTACAGAATAATTTTTACTAACAGTTTGTTTCTGTCCCTGCTTTTTATTCGATTCGTAATCATTTTGATTAGAACATGCATATTTTTTACGTATGTAAGATGTTTTCTTATCATTGTTGTTTAAATCTTGAATACAACTTATAATTTTCCTTCGATCACAAATATTTTGATACTCCTTAGATGTCAACAATCGATCCATATGTTCTTTAAATATCGTTTCCTTCTGTTCTAATTCTTTAATGCAATTCTTCAAATTTAATTCTTCTTTAGCTAATTGACGAATCTTTGATAAACAGAGTAAGTCTTCGGAATGTATCGAATGAAGACTTGGAGTAGTATAAGATCGTATTTCCTTTTCTAATTTATTCACCGTATCGTTCAATTCTTTATTCATAAGTTCCAAAGATTCTAATTCCATTTCCGTTTCTTCCAATTTAACATCAGCTTGAATGATTTTCTCCTAAAATTAAAATATCGATAATTTTTATATACATTATATAAATTTTATATAAATTAATAATATTTATAAAAAGTACAATAAAAAATAGATGTATTTAATAATACGTCAAATTTTATACGAACGCAAAGATTCAAACACACACACTAAGATTTACCCGCTGAATTAATCGCTGAATTTCAATCGTTCCGTACATGCAACTCGTCGGTCTCCTTGTTCAAATTCTTCACAGTATTCTTTAGATTTTCAAGAAGTTTCTCAGTTTGGTCCGGATAAGGAGCGAATTTCTTCATGATCTCGCGGATTTTACAATACGGCGCATTTTCACATTTTTTCGACATCCACATATTATATGCCATCAATGCCGGAATTGATCGTTCCATTGTCGTGATTTTATCTTTTAAATATTTATGCCGACCAAGAAGATCGCAACGACGTTCTTCCATTTTCGTCGTGATATCCTCGAAATACGGCGAGTGATGCTCGGTCGTTTTCGTATCTGATTTTGGACCTTCAATAAAGAAAAGAAAAATTAAATAATTATGTTTTATTAAAAATATATTTCATTTATAATAAAAAAAAATAAATATCTTATGTCACTTACATTTACATCGAGACATTTTTGCTTATTAAAGTTTTTTTCCAAAATAAAGAATTTATCACTTTGAATTATATTATATATAAATAGGTATACTTTAAGTCTAAACAGGTTATTATGATTTCCTGCACAGAATTTTAAATGTTTCAATATATTATTCTAATCTTTAAAATTATAAATTATAACAAAATTATATATGTATCTGACTAAATTATCTTTGAAATTTTGATATTAAATGTGAATGTTAATTTTTTTTTTTTTTTATGTATTTTCTGTTGACGGTTTCAAGTAGAATATATATATATATATATTCTATATATGTATGTATATATATGTATATATATATATATATTTATTTTAAGTTAATGTTCTCAACAAAGATACATTAATTGAAATTAGCAATGGTACTGTTCTTAAAAAAAACTATCGAATAAGATCGTATGTTTTTTCAGATATTTTCGATCATTTTTGATAGTTTTACGCGCAACGAAAATCAGCATGCATTAGTATAACGTTTCTGCGAATTGTTCAAGATGTATTAGATTTCTTCAATTCAGAAGAAAATATAAAACATATCGAATTCTTTGAAATCTGGAGCAAATCGAAGTGGATAATGTTACCTCTCGATATAGTCACGAGTTAGTAAAATTATAAAATTAAATTCAAAATAATATACATATTATATATTATATATAGTAAACTTGACAACGCTATTATTCAAATGAATTTTTAACAGAAGAACGGAGGACTTGACTAGTCGTGACACGGATGACGATAAATATTCTTTGCTAACCGGAACTAGTACATCTCTTCAAGATAGCACCGGAAGTACAGTCACAGGCTCAATTAGAGCCAACTACGAACGTAATTTTGAAGATCGTGTATTATACGGACAGAGCGGTGGTCGCAGATTTAGTTATAAAAAAAGAAAGACTTGCAGCGGAAATGGAATATTTAGTGCTCCTCCCGGTGTCAGTCCCCATCATGTTAAATCATCCATTATCCGTCGCAATACAAGTAGAGCTTCTGAATTCCATACATATTCTATCATATATATCTTATATATATATTTTTAAATAGTTATATGTTAAAATTAAGAATCATTTTTATTTTTTTCCATAATAGATGGATCTCGATTAATTTTTGTATGGCCACAGAAACCACCTAGAAGTAGATTGTTAAGAATTTTAGCTCCGCTCATGCATGGCATTCTCATTGGTTTTTTATTTATGGATGCTATTCATCTTTGGCCAGGAGAATTTTTACCTACATCGTTGCCTTCTATAATACCTGTTCCTTTACCACCTGTAAAATGTAATGTAATTGAACCACGATGGTTTGACAATAGTTAGATAATGAAATATTTTCATTTTTTTGACTTTGAAGTCGCGTAATTTAAATTCTCTTTTCATTATTTAAAATATATAAAATAAATTATAAGAAAAATTAAAATGTAAAAGAAATATAAACACAAAATTATAAAAAAAAATTGTTTTTAATAATATATAAATATTAATGATTAAATAACCTATAAATGTTAACAATTTCGTGCAAAAATATGCTTATGCGCATCATTATAATATAGTTAATACTTAGGAAAGAGTGAATACGAAAGATATATTTTCAGCAGTGAACAAAAATGTCGAATAAACATCTATTTCAAAAATATGGATTTTTGCGTGCACCCTTTGCCATTGGTGTTGGTCGTTATGTGTGTCAATTACAAAGAGTAACTATAAAATTTTGTAAAAATCACGGTGCTAGTCTTGGAGCTAGGTAAAATATTTCCTTACTTAACCTTATTTTTACTATTAAATTTTTATATATATATAATGATATAACAATAAAAAAAGTTATGAATTTTAAAAAAAAAATTAAAATTATTTTTTAATATTAATATATTTGACTTATTTTTTATTTGTTTAATTATTTATTTCTCTCGATGTACGTAACATTTTACAAATTATAACCTCCTTTCATAAATTATAAATATCTTATAATTTATATATCATATATATATCATATATGTATATATACATAAAAAAAAGGTTTTTTTTTGTTATATAGGAATTTTATAGAATATGATTTAATTAATTATGCAAAAGAAAATCCTGGAGTTGTAGTATATGTTAAACCAAGAAGACATAAACATCCAATTTTAAAAGCGGAATATTGTAAGTTTATTATTGTTTTAAAGAAGTAAGATTTAAATATACTAATTAAAAATTTAAAAATAAATTATAAATTAAATAAATATTTAACATAGATCTATGTTATTTATAGTAAATGGAGAGACACATTGGATGTCTATTGCTAATTATAGTAGAGAGGATATTATACAATGGATGGAATTATTAAAAACTCAGTATCATAATGGTCCAGATTACAGATTACTTAAATTATGGCACACAGATTTTCCTTCTATTCAAGGACCTTGGACACCTTTTACTTTTAAAGAATCATCTTTGAATCAAATTCAATTTCCAAATGTAAATATTGAATTTTTTGTTATATAATGTCTTTTCTATTACATTTTTATAACTATATATATTATATATTTTATTTATTCTTAGAAAAAATTTGGAGAATGTATTAAATTGGAACCAACAGCTACAGAGGAATTGATTAGATTGTTTAAAGAACAACAAGAAGCTGAAAAACTCAATGAAGAAAATAAGATTCAAGAAAATGTTAATTAAATGATAATTTTCAAATGTTAAATAATTAACTAAAAATTAAATTAATTAAAATTAATTAACTAAAAATTAACAAATACTGAATCAAAGCTTATTATAGCTTTTTAAAATAATATTTGATTTGTTTATTTTTATGTGACAATACAAAAAATTATATTTATCTAATATTTCAATAAGAAGAAAACTTTTATATACATATCCAATCATTAAAATTATATAATTATTATTAGATTGTGATTATTGTAAAATAAATATATAAAAATATATAAATATAACTTATAAATTTACTTGATTATTTATTAGTGCATATAAATATTTTTCAGGCTTTATTATAATATTATATTAATAGATACTATATTAATAATACTATTATATTATATAATACTATATTAATAAAATTTTGTGTAAAATCAATGTATTCAAATTATCAAATATAATGTATGCTCCAGACAATTACATAACACTCATATAAATATTTATTTGTGCTTTATCTTTTTAATGTAAGCATTTAGTGACTAGTATCTTATATATATCATATGTACAATATTTTTGATGTGTAATATATCAATATTATATATAATATATAATATTATTAATACATATTAATAATTAATATTATTAGTAATATTTATACTAATGTCAGAATTATATGACAGGTACATAAATTTTTTTTTGTTTTTATGTATACTTTAATTACATGAAAATATGTTTTAGCATTTTTCATATAAAAAAAATTGAATAATTATATCATACAACAATATTTTGAAACAAAATTATGTCCAATATGAAATAAATTCAACTATTTTGACCAACTATATTACACTTTAAATAAATTATATTATTATTGTTATTATAATATTCAATTTCCATATAACAACTTATAAATATAATTCATTTTTTGTGCGATTTTGTTAATGCGTGCGAACTTCATAGATAAAAAAAAATAAAAATATACATATTCTACATATATAATTATCAATTATTATAATTAATTATCAATTATTTTTAGTATTTGATATAAAAAATATCGATACAAAATATTAAGATGATATTAAGTATATCTAACTTTAATTAAAATCTTTAATCTAAATATTAAATAAAACATGAATAAAATATCCATAATATTTCATAAACATGAAAAATTATAACAATTTTGTAAAAATATAATTAGAATATTCTTTTTCAAATTGCATACTAATTTATGTAAATGCATATCTTTTTTTAAATTATGATAATATTAATTATAAAAATAGAAAGTAGAATTAAACGCGCTTAGACTACAATAAATGACATTTTAAATAATCTTTAAGGGATGGGTATAGTAGCATCCTGGTATGCTAACTTTTTTCTTTGAGAAATATGAATAAATAGTTTATTTCTTACACTACAATAAAAACTTTATCATTTTTATAGGAAAAAAAATGCAACTTTTCCTGTAATATCAGATAGCCTTAAACATTCATAGTTATTTATCAAAATAATGGGATAATGAGATGATTCTAAATATATAACAATATAAATAGGATGAATTTGATGCTACATACAATCATACGCACAAAAAATCACACACCATTAACATATCATTCCTTATTAAACACTTCATTGTATATAATTGTATATAAATAAATTTATAATGCCTCATTATAGAATCTTGATATTAAAAACTGACAAATGTTACCTACAGTATTTCAACTATTTAAATTCAATTATAAATACTAAGATGAATTTTGTACTCTAATAATTTTTTTGTAATAAAATAAAATATTGCGATAGAAATCAATTAACATGACGCAACATACCATATTCGTAAAATAAAACAAATTAAATCATGCATATCTTTCTCCTTTCGTACAGATAAATGTCCACAAAGAAGATAAAACAGCATATGAGGAAAAATATTCTCGTTTAAGCAAAATATCACACACTATATCAATTGTAAAAGTGTGACTAGACATGATTTAGTTTATTCGGCTTTAAGTCGTTTACTAAATTCTTCTTGTTGTTTTTCTCGCCATTCCTTTTTCGGTTTTGTTCGTTTAAGTTGACCATCCCTAAAAATAATATCATTGTATTAATTTTATTATAGAATTATATATAGAATTTGTTCTTATTTAAAGTAACTTACCATTGTAAATCTACTAAACCACCTTGTCTTGCTATCACAGACTTTACTCTATTTGCAAAGTCAATAGCGCTCTCTCCCTCATTTCTATACATCGGAGGAAGGTACCAAACATCACAAACTATAGCCCAACTTGACATAGTCATGTATAAATATTGAATCATAGAATATCGACTACTATTCCAGAACGCATCTCCAAATCTTGGGTCATACTGTAAGAAAGATAATGAAATTAATTATTTAAATTGCTATCTAAATATATTTTTTATATGTAAGTATATATAATGTAATATATTTTTTACATGTACACAATTACCTTTATCGCAACAGGATAGATTACACCACCAACTTCAAAACTTCCTTTTTTAAATTGCATAACTGATGTATTATTTATACAAGTGCCTTCAGGAAAAATAAGTATAGGTGGATTTGTAGGATCAGAAATATGTTTTTTTAATCTAAAATACATTTATAAAAGTGTACATACATATAATATATTATAAATAAAATATATATATTAAAAATAAAACAGAATTTACCGTTTTGTAACAGCTTCTCTATCTTTAACTTCACATCGTTCAAACCAAATATGCGGTGATGCACGTGCTAAAGCTCTTTGTAGAATTCCTAAAAATCCACCATGCCTTTGACCTATCTAAAATAATATTTATTATTGAATAATATAAATCGTTGTTTATACATCAAAATATATATTTAATGAAAATTTAAATAATGATAACAAAATAAATCAAAATTAAAACATGCAATTAAGAAGATATAAAATAATTGAAAATAATTATTAGTTTATTAATCAATATGATGAATGATAGAAACATACCAAAGAATAGCAATTATCGCACATCAGTACTAGAACATCTATGGGAGAAGTGTGATTTGCCACACAGATACCCCTAATAGGACGATTTTCTGGGTTATGATAAGTTATTACTGAAGATAGCGCGCTGGACAATACACCAAAGCACATTATGGAAACTTTATAATTTAACCATCGCTTGAAACTGCCTTCTGGGACATACCCCACAACAGCTGTACATGCTGTCAGCCACATTACCTGTAAACCATAAGCTTTGCATATAAGAAAGTATATTCTATTCTTTTTGTATTGATGGTGAGTAGTTTACCTACAAAGCAAAGTTACAGGAATCTGTTACCTGCAACATTCATGCATTTCAACTTTCAATAGACAATTACTAATCATATTATAGCAGGATTTCCCAGATTATTTTAAGAATATTATTATAATATGCTGAAATTTAATTACTAACAAATAACAAATAAATATGGTAACAAATTCTCAACAATAATACCCAATAAACAACAAATTTGGATATTTTTATAATGATATATTACCAAAGAGAATGTTGTTTGTGTGGATAAGATGGACACGTCGATTGTGGAAGTGTGATTTGCTACACACATTCCTCCAGATTTTGGTTTATATTCTGGATTATGAATTGTAATTGTAGCTGATATAGACTGTGATAATATTGTGAATGCTATGATACTAGCTTTGTTGTATATCCATTTCTTTATAAAACCATTTGGTAAGAAGCCAATAAGAAATGTTGTAATTACAATATACAGTACCTAAGAAGCTTTGATATTAGTTAAATTGAAAATGCTAAATTTATATTTGACATGGACATTTACTAAAGCAAATACTTTCAAAATAGATGCATTAATAGAGCAGAATTGTGAAATGAAAATAAGTTAAAAAATTGTAATATTAATTCTTACATAAATATTTTTTTTTCCTAAACTTAATAATTAATCATACATCCTATCAAGTTGTTTCAATTTCAATTTCAAATATTGTTAAGTATAGAAAAATCAATGTACTTACTCCAACAAAACAAATGAATATTCTTAAGGGAAGAAGAAAGCAGTACCGCATAACAAATCCACACATCCATATTACTGTTAGCTTCCAGGAAATGAATTCGTAATGTCTATTTGTTCTAGTTAATAGATTCCAATTCTGACAAAAAATATCAATTTATCATATATTAAAATATCAATTCATATTTTTTAAAATCTAGAAAAAAATTACCTTCAATTCTTCTGCCTCAAAACGAGATGTCACCTCATCTTCAATTATAGCCTCTACACCAGCTTTAATATAATCCAAACAGATTGCAGGTTTGAACTCTCTTTTTAGCGTTTCAAATGAATCTCTACGCATAAGATTCTATAAAAAATATTTTTTATTTTTAATCTACTTTATAAATAATTCTTTTTTATAAATAAAAGCAATAAAATAAAACTAAAATTATTTACAGTAGTTGTAGATGTTTGAGAACTTTCTGTTTTTGTTTCTTCCAGATGATTTTTATGATTCTGCATTTCCGGCTCAGGTACTAAAATCAAATCTGTCGATCTGGCTATTACATTGCTACTTAACATCCCATTTTGCATATCGTTTTCCGTTTTCCAATTCTGTACATTCTGTTTTTCAACATGCCGCGATTCGTTTTCTTCATCGGCATCCTGGTCATTTTCTGTCCAAGTACCATTTTTCTTTTTTACGTTTTCTATATTTTGTCTGCCATACTGAAATAAAAATGTATATATAGATATATTATAATCATCTCGCTCAAGTTCGAATATTTCTAAAAAATATGCGATTATATACATTTCTTGCTGAAAAGAAATTTGTCAAACATAACAAGAACAATAGACTTATTCACTAGATAAATATAATTCATAAGAAATGAATATCATCATAAAATACAAGTACCTATAGAATGAAATATGAAAAGGATATTCTTAGCAATAAAAATTATTTTATTATTTATCGTAGATAAAAATAAAGCTGGATAATATTTTTTTAAGTTTCTAATGGATTTAAATTTATCAAATCATAAGACTTTGTCTACTTTCGCGAAATATTTTCATAAATATTAT